TCCTTGTCCCTCCATTCTGGAGGCACCAATCACAGAAGGTGGTGCACGGGCTTGCAATCCACTGCACGTTGGACTCCTGTTCCTTTAGCTTGTCCAGGTAGAACTTCTGGCGGTCCGCTTGGGCTAAGTCATGATCTGGCCGTAGGCCGAGTTGCTGATGTGGTTGGTCGTAAAGCTCGATGGGTTCAAGAGCGACCATCCCGGCATCCGTCCACCCCTTCGTGATGACCCCATGCCCCGCAAAGTACTCCCTCAGCACCAAGCCTGCATGTCCTCGTGCTCCATGGACTGTCTTCATCGTGTGGCCACCTCCTGCCATGACTTGCGACAGAGCTGGGAGACATGTCGTCTTTCGGAGGCATCCATAAGCATCGGGCTCATTTCCGCCGCCTCCCTTTCTTGTCTTGCAATGCCTGCACGCGATGATGCCCGGGGCGGTCTTGGCCTGGTCATGGCGTTGATGCCAGAAGTATCTGAACCCAAGGCATGGGGTGTGATACACCTCCTCTTTGCGCAACAAGTTTTCCTCAGCCGCGCTGGAGGGTGGTTGTAGCAAAGTCATGTGCCCTTTGGAGATCATGACCCATACGTCCTGCTGGGTCCACTGACTCCCCACAACTGTTTCCAGGAGGATATCGCCCTTGTAGTCAACTCGGACCACAATGATCCTGATCTCCTCCAAAGCTGCCAGCGGGAAGACTGCCAACGCTCGGTAGTCCTTGTCGTGGTGGGGCTTTAGGATGTCGTGGGCGTACATGCGCAGTTCATGCTCCACCGGGGCCACCTTCGCCTCGGGGTGACTCATGACACCTTCCGCCTCAACCGCCAAACGTGCCTGCTCCAAACGAAACTCCTGGGTCAACTTCTCGACCTCCTCCATTCCAGGAACCTTCTTCGTCTGAGCCATGAGGAGGCCAGCGGCAAAGACCTTGGTGACGCATTGCCTCTTCTCCTTCTCTGGTTCGATCACCCCTAACAGGCCCGCCAGCTCCTCCGTCATGTAGACCATCTCCCCAAAGTCCCACATCGCCCATGACTCTCCATCAATCTCGACCAGCGCTTTGCCCGGCCCGTCCGCCTCCCAACGGGTATCTCCGACCCGGCATCGAGCCTGATTCCCAGCCTTCGGCCCTCCTCCGTGGGTCTCCAAGAGGTATGCCGCCTCGGCCGCCAATTCGCCCAACCCAAACTGCACCATCTCCTCCATCAGCGTCTCAAACGGGATCTCCGGATCGTTTGCCACCCTCGTAGACGCCCAAGCATAGAGGTCATCCGATGCTTCCTGCAGCTTGCTGAGTACAGGCCCGTCTGCTAGGGCTTGAGCTTTCCTCACGAGGTCTTGCGCTTCTCTGGGCGCCGTCTCCCCTTCACGTCCAGGATGAGGTTGCGACTCCCTGGGCACATTCTCGTAAATGGAGGGGTCGGGGCCCGCCACCAAATCGGCAAACTCCTTCTCCTGGTGGGTGTAGTCGACCTGCGCCATCTCTTCCGGCGCCTCCCATCGAACTCCGTGATGACCGCCCGCCTTCTCGTGCCCTTCAGCTTCACCTTGAGGCTGGTCCCCGTGTCCCGCTCGACGTCTATCCTTCCCATCTTGGACCTTCGAAGCCTTATCTTTGGCCACCCCAGCTCTGATCTCCTTGATCTTTTCTGCAGCTGTTTCTTTGGTCTCGGCCTTCATGCGCTTGAGCCCTCCCCTTCGCAGCATCTGAAGCTGAACCGCCGGATCGAGGGATTCAAACGGTCCCCTGAGAGGTTCATGAGCTCTTTGGCAACCTTGCTGAGAGCAGCCCAAATGGGTCAGATACCCCCAGCATAGGAGCTTTCCCTCCTTGTTGGTTGGTGCTCGATCCTTAGCTCTTGCCGTCTCTTCTGCCGTGAGCTTCGGGCCGTACAAAGCCTTCAAAGTGAGCTTCTCTTCCCGATGGCCCCCATCTCCACCTGCAGGTTGTCCTTGAGCTCGGGCCTTTCCAGCTCCTTCCCAGGTCATCTTCCAAAGCATCCTCTCTTGGCGGCGCTCAATCCGGGGCATGACCTCCGACATGAACCATCCATCCGGCCTCCGAAGGTCAAAGGTTTGAGGCAGTTCAAGGGGAGCCCTGCCCTCCTCGTCCGGCATAAGGGCATAGAACTTGAGGTCGCTCAAAGTCATCGACTCTCTTCCGGCCAGCCTCTTAATCTTCCTCAACTCCTCTTTGAGCTCTTCCAAGAACCTCCAGTGCAGCTCTTCCCATACGTCGAGCAACACCTGAAGCGGCCACTTGTGAGGGGCACCGATATGCCATTCGCTCAACAGGTTGACGGCGTGCTCCCGGACAGCCTTCCATTCGCTCCCGTACACAAGGGCCCAAATGTCATTTTGGCGTTTTGCACGGCTGAGCCAATCCTCATACCTCGTAGGAGCTGCAGGCCTTTGGTCGTTTGTGGGCTTTCCCGTCCTGCTCTCAATGGCAAATTGGTCCAACTCGGCATCGGTGCAGGGCACGAAGTCTGAAGCACTCAGGGCGTACTTTTCCTGCGTCCCCCAGTACGGGCCTGCAAGGCCGATGGCCAGCCTTGTTGTGACTTTCTGTCTGAAACCAGCTGTCCTCAACTTCGTGGACGACCCTGCCTGAGCCGCAAGGAGCGCTTGAGCTAGAGAGGCACCGTACTCTCCATCGCCAACTTGCACGGTATACTGCCCGCATGCGCGGAGCAGATATACCAGTTCTTCTGAGGTTTTGCCCAAGCCCTTTAGGGATCCTCCTGCGCCAGCGGCAGACTCCTGTTGAGCTTTGACCAAAGTTGCCAATTCATTTGTCTGCTGCTGGATTGCTTTGGCGATGTCGGTCATCTCGGTGCTGGCGCCCCTTTCCCCAGGCCCTGTTCCAGCCTTTCGATCTGGGTCATAGATGCCAGGCGGGGGAACCAAGGCCAGCTTCTTCTTTGGCTGTCCTGCCTCCCGAAGCTGCACTAGAAGCGGGTGTAGCGCTCTCTCGCTCCCGTTCGACCACACTCCAATCTGACGGGGTCATCGAGCCTTCTTGAGCAGCCGCCTGTTTGCGCCATTTGGCAAGGAACTTGGTCAGGCCTTTCGTCCCTTTCCTTTGTTCCTCAGTTGCCTGCTCGTAGAGCTGGCGAGTCAAATCGCCGAGGGTGACCCCAGACTGAGCTGCCATCTGCTTCCGGATGTCCTCCTCGTTGAGCTGCAACTCCTTGCCGTCTGCAAGCTGTTCCATGAACTCCTCCAGGAAGGTAAGTTCTCCTCGACGATCCGGTGAATTGATGAGTCCCATCCTTGCCAGGCTATGCTGGACCGACGACTTGGGGGTGTGCCCCGGGGAAGCCACTCTCTTCCGCCTCGTCACGCCCTGAGCCTGGACATCGGGTCCGTCGTCTCTGACCTCGCGTAGGATAGCCTCCGCCTCCTCCGTGTTGTAGGCCACCTCACGTCCTCGCCCACGTCGCCGCAGCCGATCTTCACCTTCGCCTTCCAGACGATCGTCACCCTCATCTTCAGCCGGGGGAAGTTCCCTTACCCTCGATCGTGACCGGGAGGACCTCCTCGTCGGTGTTAGAGGTTGAAGCTCCTCATGAGTCGCGCACATCCTCAGTCCTTGCCTTGTCGAGGTACAGACCCGTCGACATCCATCCACCGAACACTTGGTAGAGGCCCTTCGGGTGAGATACTGCACCGCATGGTGTGGACACATCGTGACGGTATGCCCGGCCGGCAACAGGTTGAGGTCCTCCTCCAACAGCTCCACCGGAGTCACCGCAGGCCTCTCACATGGTCGGTCCCCAAGGCTTTCACGACCGGTCGAACTCTCCCACCACACCTGATGGGCGCAACATCGAGCCACCTCTTCATGTTCGGACTCCGACGCATAGTCCTTCAACTTCTTCGCCGTCTGATTGGCCCTGGACCAAAACCAACTCATCACCTTCGATCCTGACCGTTGGGCCCCAGCCGCGGTGGACATCAGGTGGAACTTCTCCGGGTTGAGTTGCCTGGCCAAGGCATAGCTCTTGAAGTGTTGTCCCTCCTCCGGGCAGCTATCGTGCCGGCAGAGATGGACTCTTTCGTAACCCTTCAAGGCCAAGAGAAGTGGCGGGTCGCCCCGGGTTGCCTCAGGGTCGAAGGTCAGGTACATCCCGCTGGACTTGATGGCGGCGTTCTCAACGACCTTGATGATAACAATGTGCCCATCCCGTCGGAGTAACACCCACCTGTCCTCGTTGGCACCCTTCTTGAGCTTTCTCAACTCCGCGGTCTCCGGGACCTCACCAGTGTCCGGCCCAAAGAAGGTAGCCCCGGTGACCTCAGGGACCCCACCAACAAGCCGCTGCGTATAGAAAGCTACCCTTCCGCAGCACTTCACACATGCTCGAATGAGCCATACCAGGGTGAGGATACCTCCAATGATGAGGGAGCACAAAGGCCACGCCAAGGCCAGAAAATAGTGCAGCACCAGGCATACAGCCATCAAAGTAGCCACTCGAAGGACCACTGAGCACCCAGTGCGCACCTGAATCCAGTTCTGGCCGAACACCAGCCATCCGACCCCGCTCAACACGGTGTCCAAGATCGTCCATACGATGCTATCCCACGTAGTGAGCGAGGCGAACTGCTGCTGGGCAGACGAGACCGTGGCGTTCATCCTCTGCTGGAGACATTGGAGCGGGTCAGACCAGCAGGTCTCGTTGGCCTGGTGGACGCCCTCGTCAGGAGCTGGGTGCCACCAGCCTTCGCTGGGCCCAAAGGCCCAACCAAGAGCCAGAAGGCTCCAGCGCCACCGCACCATGGCACCGCCCCCACGTGCGAAAAAGGGGGGCCTCTTGGGCCAACAAGCTTCCATCACAAGACGGTCGGCTTGCCCCAAAGTAACAGTTTGCAAAACTTCCAAGTTTACTCAAGCAAACCACAAAAGGAACCCTTCGACTCAACCAAGACTCAAAAGATCCATGTTTTGTTCTGTTGACCAACCACATCCATTAAACGATCCCAGTTCAGACCTCAGGCATTCTGAGATTTCTCCCCATGCCCTTGCAGCGAACATTCATCTTTGTTAGTCAACTGGAAGAAGCACCGGCTGGCTTTTGGGTCCTTGCTGCTGGGCTTGTGGCGCAGATCATCGGGCTCTATGTGAGCCCCTACGTACCAAGTCGAGCAGGGCGCCTTGGAAAAGACTGAGGCCCACAACGTAGTCATGCAGCTAGGACAATTTTTAGTTTCTGTGCGGTCGCTGAAACATATACGATGATCCTTTTTCTTAAATCTTGGTTCCACCGCACAAACTGCTGGATACTGTATTGCAAATGGACTCCAGTCTCAAGAGCCATGTATTGGAGGGTGGTTCTTCTCCAGCCAAGGTGGGGCACTTGCTTTGTCGATTTCATGAGCATCAACCAGGCAGAGGGTGGTTGGACACGGGCCAAGCTATTTTAGTGTACAACCCTTTGCCTTGGGTACAGCAGTGTGGCACCAAGTATTGACTACTTGACAATTTGGAGGCTGGAAAGGGGAGTTCTGAAAAGAGTACTTTCCCCTACTTACTGTGAGATCAAGGATCCGATGACTAGGGACAATCACGACCAAACCCCCATAGGCATGAGTTTACAAATGGCAGATGTGTGTTCATCACAATCTTCCAACTCTTCAAGTTTTATGAAAGGCATGGTGCCCGAAGTCTCAAATACTTAAACCACTACAACAGCCACGTGTTGACGCAGTCCAGACCAGAAAACAGCGAGATCTTGTTGGACCGAAGAATCTGCACCCCCGATGATTGCGAGGCGGATGAGGAGCTGATGCAGAAAGGTATTCGTGGGATTGGTGGCTCGGTGTGAACTCAGGATCTTGGATCTTTTAAGATGCCTCTTTACCAGGGATAAGATTGATACCAAGTACTGTACTAATGACTGTAATGCTAATACGCCTCCTACTGTAAATAGCTTTTGTTTCACTCTTCGGTCAGATTCTATGCTAGTGAACCGGGTTTCCTGCAATCTTCTGGTCAGAAAACTCTAAACCAGAGGAACGATGATAGTCAGTTCCCCCTTCCAAGTCGTTGCAGAATCGAAGGGTTTTGAGGAGATCCGGAATTGCCCACTACCATGGCTTTGCAGCACGGGAGTTGTTTGGATTGTTTATGGTGGGAGAAGGGAGGATTCGTGTGGTGGAAGAAGGAGGATTCATTTTCCATTTATTTACAGGTTCACCTGTCTCCCCTCAAAAGAGTACCAGCACTAGGTTTCAGTCCATTTTTTCCTTCTCCACCAGGACATGTAGACACTTCACCACAGCCTGAACAACTCATCAAGGAGTGAATTTTCGTTGCAGATGTTCCGTGATCTGAAGTGGTCCCGAGAGGCCGATAGCTGACGACAGGGCTTCATAAATGCCTTCAACGGAGTTTCTAAATTTGGCACCTAGCCTAGTGCTCTTCTGTTGAGGGTCTCCACAGAGTTTGTTTTATTTAAGTTTTTCAAGAGCCAGAAAAGCGGCTTGTCATGTTGGACCCCTCAGACAACTTGGTGACATGCGGTGGGCCGCCCATTGTAGAGCTAAAGCCTTTTGTTTACGTGGCCGACCTTGACCATTGGTCCAGACCACACATATCGGACTCCCCACTCAGGTGGCTTTTTGCAACACTCAAAGGTTTTGCTAATCCTGTGGAGCCCTGCATACCTGCTACTTGGCAAGCAGTGACAGTCAGTGGCCAAAGAGTGCGACAATCCGAGCGGTTCGAAGACTTGCACCACTGGTTTGTAGAGCAAACTCCCTTTCTATGGGTCGATTTGTTCTTTTTCAGGATGCTACTGCTGAAGGAAGATTTCTCCGCTGCACCAGTTGTCAGTTCGTCTCTATGAATGAGGATCATAATGAGGATCATAGTGTCATGATAGCCCCAGCCTGCAGATTCCCATCAAATGACCACGCCTGGTTCAAAGGGAAGCTACACCGCATGCCCAGGTCCAGGTTGTGGTGTGTCTTTGAGCTTGCGGTCTTTCGCATGGCCAATCCTAATGGGAAGATCTCCTTGGTGCCAATGGTGATGGTGAAGTTGGCAGCCTCTCGGCTGCTCTGCACCCACTAAACTGTTCAGGGTGTGCGAATAATTTTGCAACTAATTGAGGTTGAACATTGCGCAGGGAAACAGCCGGGCAATGCAATCGAAATCTTCAGGTCTGTTGCTTTTTGACCATGCTCTGCGCCGTCATTTCCACGATGAGCGTTCCCTGCTTGAAGTTGGACTCTCCAAACGCGTCTTTTCGTGTCCTGGCAGCTGATGACCGAACTTTTTTTGTACGTCGTCGTCGCTGGAGTGATGTTAACTGCACTGTTTTTTTTCACCTGAAGTGACTGTTGGAAAGTGGATGGATTTCTGAAGTGCCAATTTCCAGGCGGGCCTGGCACAACACATAGGTGAGTTCCGAGATGCCACATTGCATCTGACGTTGGCGAACCAAGATCAAGGTCCCATCTAGTCCAGTGCATATTGGAGGCAAGTGACAGGTGCCATCTACCCCTTTTGGCGTGTGATCTCATTGTACGCACAACCCCCTTCAGAACCTTCCATACTCAGGTGAAAGTGTTTAAAGGCTGCGAACTGTAAAGAGCAACAAACACATACATTTTGTGGTGATCCCGCATCCCGTGAAAGAAGATGTATGTGGTTTTACACCTCTCGATTATACTGCTTGTTGAGGGTCCGCAACAGGTTCCCTCCGCGCAAACCCACAAACATGGGAGATCATAGTATTGATTTTGTTAAACGTTGGACGCTCCAAGCCTCTTTGATGTGTACCTTCTCGCCCTGGAGTTGCCAAGAACTCCATCTCATTGGCGTACCACTTTTTCACCCAGCAGTAGGATGATCCCCAGTGCCAACTTTCACGCCCAGGGCTTCAGGTGATACTCATCACCATTGGTGCACTTCCTTTGGCCGTTGCTGTTCACAAGAGCCGCAAGAGCATTTCGGAGAAGCAACACTTAGCTGCCTGGCTGGAGGGGCGCGAAACACGGGTGTGGCAGCAGCAGCAGCAGCAGCAACACCAGCAGCAGCAAAAGACTGAGTGAAATGCACCTCATACCAGGGCAGACAGAGCGCCCTCAGGACGGAGGGTGCCAGGGTCGGGTCGGTCGTCAGACCGAACCTGAGGAGGTCTCCATAGTGTCATGGTGACCATATTGGGACAGTTTTCATCTTTATTCCCTGACTCAGTCTGTTGTAAAGTGGACATTAAGGACAAACACTGCCAGTTGATGGGCAGTGGTTCTGATTAGTATATAAGAGGTAGGTAGAAAGGCACCAAACCCTTGGAAAACGATATATAGGATATTCAAGAACAATCGATACCACCCTCTCAATGACTCCAGCGGCAAGTACCAGGTTTTGACCATTGCTCACAGGGGAAAACTCACACAACACTGGAATAACCTGACCAGCACTTCCAAAGGGGTTGTGTTTAGCCCCCTAAGTGAGTGGACAAGGGGCATCCCTATCCTGCTTTGAGCACACCTTTGCAACCTCTGGGAGAAAGAGACACACCAGTCTCCGCCAATGTCAGCATTCACAAGCACCATTCGTTACGTGTGCCTTGCGCTATCCACTGCTTCTGTGCCATTCAGGTTGAAGAGCTCGCCAACTTTACGCTCAGCGAATGCCTGTGCAGCAAGGAATCGGATCGAGAATTTGTGATCCAGTCGATCAAGTCCCTGTATGGAAGTGAGACAGAGTTTGAGGCCGAGACAAGCCCCTGTGTGGCCTTCCCACGTTTTTGGCAGTGAAGACAAGCAAACATCGAAAGCACTTGTCGGGGTCTCGGGGTAATGGGAGATGTTTCATCTGGTAGAGGGTTGTCCCATCAGGCATCTCATGGCCGAAGCGATGAGTGGTTAAAACATCAAACCCTGCAGTTCTTGACTCGCAATTGGCCAAGGTCAATCCTATACTCGTGATACGAGAAGACTAGCACATACTAGCACTGCGTATCATATCAGAAAGCAAGACTTAAGACTTGGTAGTGGTGGGATGTTCTTTATTTGAGCTGGTGTTCCAGTCTACCTAACAGGTGTTTCGACGTATATAATTAGCCGTGGTCCGGGTGTACGGCGTATGGTTCCACTGCCAACAGGCCTACGTGCAAAACAACCTGCGTGAGGACTGGGACGGACAAGTCTGGAATAGGGTTGAACGATGTTGAACGGTTGAACCAAAACATCCCAAATCCGGACACCGCAGGATATGGGTGTGAGTTACAAAAATGGTAGGTTGACCTTCTGGGATCCTGGGTAGACGATTTCTTTATATAATGCGAATCTAGACTTGGATGGAGACAGTTTCAGATTCTTCAATGTGAGAGTGAATACTGCATGTTGAATCTTAATTTGTAATTGTCTCTTCTGCAATAGCCGCTAGCCGCTAGCCATTTCGTCATCCTGATGCTTCCTGGGTCATTTTCTTTAAAATGCGGTTCCGGTTTGCCATTCTCCAAGTGCAAAGTGTTGACTTTTTGAATATTCAGTTTTGGGGTGTGACACATGGTACAGGGTAATTTACGGCCTCATCCGAAGTGCATGCACTTATCACACAAACATAGAGTGCTCAGCCGCAATTGTCACTCTGCAGGAGCTGATGGGATGGAGATTCCGCTGGACGACGCCAAAGCCTCTACTGCTGATGATTTGCCTTCCAGGCCCCTGGTGGTGGCGCTAGTGGGTCCTGTGGAACCGGTTTCGAGCGGTACATGTGGTTCGGTGGAACCCGAAGGAACAGTGACGTGGATGCGTATACGAAAGTGATCAGGGGACTGAATGAAATGAGCTCCAAGTTAGATTCCGTCCCAATGCTGCCAGTTTGGTATTTGGTCACTTGGTTTTCAGGTGTAGTAGAGACACAGAGGGCACACTGGTCCGCACAAAGGAGAGGGAGAGTCGTGCGAGGAACGAAAAAAGGGGTGGGGGATGGCTATAGTGTTCGATAGCTTGATTCATGATCGCTTAGGGGGAGGGAGAAGTTGGGGTAGTTGGGGTAGCATGATGGCCAAGGGGTAGTTTACATAATAGACTCTTTTAATTACAATCTTAGGCAGTATCATTTACTCTGTATTATTTATGCTTATCCACCAGTCATGATAATACTACGATGTTTGATTGGAGGTTGGCGTGCAAGACAATGTGCATCTCCAGGGGGGCCGAATGGCCGCTTTGCATGTATTCTAGGGAGCAAAGAATCAGGACATCCTGTTTCTCTCTCTCTCTCTCTCTCTCGTTTTTCAAGCTTGCAGGGCCATCCTACATTCATCCCACCTATATATATATATATATATTGGGCCCTGCCCCCCCACAGTAACAGTCGTAAAGGGTCAGGGCCCTTAAACCATACCCCCAAAAAAATTACAATCATATTCAAAGTCATTTAGGGAGATTGGATTGCAATTTCTGGTCTAGGAAATGCAAAAGATTGGATCAGTGGGCGGGTTCTGGTCTAGGAAATGCAAAATAATTGGTTCAGTGGGCTGGCTAACTCTAAAGAACACAAATCTGAACATATTTGCAAACCAAAAACAACCAACATCATCCCTTCACAAATTGATCAACCTCAAGTGGCAACTCAAAGAATGATTGACCCTACTGCTTACCACAAGATTAATCATTTGCTCATGCTCTCACAGCAGGATGAGCCAAGTCCAAATTGGCTCTGGCTCCCCGCTCCCCACCCCCTGGCTCCCGGCTCCCCACCCATCGCTCCCGGCTCCCCACCCCGTCGCTCCCGGCTCCCCCCCCCAAATTTTTTTTTTTTTTTTTGTGTGTTTTTTTTTTGTTTGATTTGTGGTCGTCTTCCGTCCTGGGCCACAAATCATACCAAAAAATACACGCAAGTCATACCACAAAAAAAAGCACAAAAAACACAAGTCATACCAAAAAAACAAAAAACACAAGTCATACCACAAAAAAGCACAAACGTGACCACCACAAAAGTCACAAAATCAATGCACATGGCCTTGTCTCCTGCCACTCACCTTTGATTCTATATTCAAAAAACACAACTCATACCACAAAAAAACAAGTCATACCACAAATAAACACACAAAAACGACCACAAGTCATACCACAAAAAAAAGCACAAACAAAAACACAAGTCTTACCACAAAAAAAGCACAAAAACCACAAGTCATACCACAAATGCACCAAAAAATCCTTAAGTCATACTACAAAAAAACACAAAAAACGACCACAAGTCATACCACAAAAATAAATATCAAAAAAACAAGTCATACCACAAAAAAAGACAAAATAAAAACAAACACAAGTCATACCACAAAAAAAGCACAAAACAAATCAGTTTTGTGCTTTGTTTTGTGTTTTTTTTTTGTGGTTGTGTTCCTTTTCATGTTCCTTTCAAAAAGAGCGGGCCACCAGTTTTCTTTTGTTTTATAAGGCAGGCCCCCCCTCCCCTGGGCCAGGTCCCCCTCTAGAGCCAACCCCTTCTGCCAGGCCTGCCATATGATGTTTTGGCAGAACTCCCAGACCATTTTGAGTGGATTGAAACTTTCGATCATTTTGCGAGTGGGTGTGCTCAGATGAAAATTGGCACCCGATTCACTTGAGGGGTTTGTGGTACATGACTATTGTAGGCAAATGAAAATCATCCTAATGCAAACTATGGCTAAACTGCTGTGCTCTTTTTTGTGGTATGATTTGTGGTCACTGTTACTGTGCCGGGGCAAAGCCCAACCTATATATACTACATATTTATGTGACGACCCTTGGAGGGACCCTCCTGCAAGTGAGCCAATATTTGGATTGAAAAGACTAACTTGAAGCTGGACTTCCTCTACTTCCATGTTGGCTTTTGTGACCGCCTTCCTTTGTGTATTTGGCGCCTGCCACAGGAATTGCCGGGAGCTTGGATGTGACTGCAGGCCTAGCAAGGGCTGGCTATCCCATCAAAGACCTCCTAACCTGGTTCTGTGCCTCAACGGTGCCTGATCTAAGATTCAGATGACTCTCGTGAATGGACCACTTCCGACTCAACAAGACTGGTTGGTTCGAAGGACCTACACACAAGAATACTAGACTTGATAGATCTTGATAGTCGATAGTATGGAGGGAGGCATTGATTTGTAAAGGAACCTAGCCCAATGGACAACATCTCTGTGGGAACTGTTGGGGATGGTCGTGCTTCGCTCCCTTCATAGGTTTTGTTTGATTGCGAAGAAGAGATAACAGAAAAGACTTTGGAGAGAGATAACACATTGCAACTAGTATAGAATCAGAATCCAATTGTTGAACATGCACAGTTATCCAATAGTGTTGTTTGATGTTTCCTAGGCCCTTTCAGTAGCAGTACTTTTCACTTAGCCTTGAGCCTTGAGCACTTTTCAGCGGCTGTCCACCTTTCTCTTTTTTGTGGCCACAGCGCCTTGCCAAGGTTGGCTTCGCTACGTTGTGGACTTACACCTGGTGGCAAGTGTTGCTACGCCTCACCGATCGATTCTTTGCGACTGCTCAGCACCGGTCAGTTGACATCCTCAAGACGCTCTCAATCTACCTTATTTTTCTGGTGGCTTGGCTGTGGCGGCTAGCAGCTGTTTGGACCGTAAGAAGGAATTTGGACACCCTTCGCGTCTACGGTTCAACAAGAGTCCAACAGCCAGAGGGCAGCTAACTCTAGATAGGTTCAAGCTTTGTTCCCAGCTAGATAAACCCTGAAAACATCTGAAACCCATGGAACACAGGGGTCAGTTAATCTCTCCTTTGAGACCATTTCCCTGGCAGCCCAAGACTATGTATGAACAAAACCATCTTAAGGCCACACCAAAAAATGGTTTCGTTTTTGAAGAGTAATGCTTCGTGGTCCTGACTGAGGTTATGGTCTGTTCGGGAGTTGTTGCTTCACGTGCAGCAATGGAACGGGGCAACCTCATGGTTGGTGTGTGGTGCTTGACGGCCTTGTTGGCCGCAGTGTTTTCAAATTGTTGTTGACGGGTTGCTGCGTGAATCTGTGAGAACCTGGCCAAAGTCGATTCTGTACACTTATGATGTGCATTGCTTTTTAGAGACGGGACATGCAGTGACCCCTCTTGAAGCAAATTTTAAAACCAGCTCAGTGTCTGAATCTCGTTGTCCGAATGGAACATACGAAGAGTTGCCGGTATTGCCCAGGGATGGTGCAACCACCATCTTTGGAAAAGACCGGATCGAAGGATGCCATCTTGGCTGAAGCGGGCTTAAAATGTGAGCCTCCGTGGGAAGTGAACCAGATGAGATGATGTTTTCTTTTTGTTTGAACTGAGCCAAGCGCCAACCATATGTATACTGTATACTTGCACGGCACGCATGGAAACCGTCGAGATGTCAAGATAATACTGGTGTACGATACAGGTAGACAAAAGTCCTGCACCAGATTGGGTATTGCAATTATCTCACAGTGCCGGATGTGGGATCTAAATAGAGAATGGATGAGTCTAACCTTTGTACCAATTCTTCTTACGTTTCATGCTTTTGCTTGGCTAGGTTGTATGTGCTTCGTGATCTGAACATTCTTGCACCTGGCGTACACAAATCGTAGGACTTACATCTCAAATGGGGCAGTAAGAACATTCAGTGATACACACTGATGAAGAACGATTGTGCTCACGCTTCTTGCACGGCTTGGTTGACTGGGCCATGCAGGGGCCCTCGAGGTAGAATCTACTCTGGATATGGCTCCAAAGATTCTCGAATGGTGCCCTATGGCTGATTGTAACACGCCATTGCTGAACTGACCCACCCTGCCAGGCATTGCCATGGGTATCTTGGGCGTGGATGAGCTGGGTGGAGATGCTCCATTGATGGAGGCAGGATTGGACTCTTTGTGCCTTGGTGGCCGATTGAGCTGAAATGCGGTTGAGCGTGTGGTGCATGGGGAAGACATTGAGAAGGGACTTCTTAAATGCACGATGGCTAGACACTACCAGACATAGTCTGTGGTCTTGTGGTTCTGGGATGTGTCGTTTTCACAGGCGATCCTTTGGGGACACCAGGTTTGCAACTCGGATCCTGAATCACTGAGTTCATCCCAAATCTTTGGAGGGTTGGAGCCATAGCAACCCTAATAATCCTATGAGATAATTCACGACCCCCACCTTATTTTGGTGCCCACGCATCAGCTCTGGACTCGCCGAGGTCCTCGGTGGATTTCCGGAACTCCGTCGCCAAGGAATTGCCAGGAGTGAAGCTTCTTGGGCTTGAAGGGGCGACCGGGGCGACCAGTCGCTGGCGTTGGCGCCCGCCTTGGGGCGGCGCCAGGAAGGGGATACGAACTTGGGGGATCGGTGTGGAGAAAGATGTTTTGACATTTGGAGAGGGAGTTCTGAGGAACCATGATCGATCTCGAATCAAATTTAGAACTTGCTTCAATCCTGATCATCTGCTTTTCTCGTCAGCCAGTGTTTGGACTGAGATTCCTCAAATGTCTGCAGGTGGTCCGACCAAGTCTGACTCGCCCACTTGCAGGTTGCCCAGCACCTTGATGTTCGACCATCCCAACACCAACGCGATTGCGGCCTTTGCCGCAGAACAGCTGGCATCAGTGGTGACTGCCACATGGCAGGATCGATCGAATTCACGCAGGATCGTCCATCCCCAAAATGACTCGGGGTTCACCACTGTTTGTCTTCTTGGGTTCAAGACACACATTATATATAATTACTTCTGAAGGAAGAACATATCATTTGTTCTTCTTGGATGATGTATAACTTTGGAAGAATTTGTTGACAGAAAATACACAGAAGAACATAGTCTTTTTATGTATTTTTGAGTTTCGTGAGGGGAACGGTTTGTATTGTGAATCACAAGGTCTTGAGAAGACCAAACTGTGTTGCGGTACCTAGCAACATCTAGCAACTATAGCAGTGCATTGAACCATAATGAAAGACAACCATCCACAAGTATAGCTACAGTTGCGTCTGGAACATGGCACAATCCCCAAACATGTTTAGGACGGGGTGACTCAACAAACACAGCAATTCTGCGTTATGTTGAACAACTCCATCGAGGTCCTCTTCTATTTCCCTCATGTTTGCAGGCATGGATACATGGAGATCCGAGTGCAATTCTGGAAGAATGCTTGGAAGGATGCTCTTATTAATTACAGGGCCTTTTGGCCTTTACATATTATATATATATAATCATATATATATATATAATCCTCAGGGTGCCCTCTTTTTCTACAACGAACTTTGTCATTTCATGGTCAACAGCACAATGGATTGGCCTTCTTAGGCCTTCTTGGATTCCAAGACAAACTCTACAAACAGGAGGAAACTCCACTTCCATAAAAAAGTCTCACTGTTGCTGCCGGCATCACCTAAACAGGCGATGGGCGACGCGCCCGCCGCAGTGGCCCGCGCACCGAAGCCACGGGTGGCATTGCCGGTGGCTCCGGTAGGCGCCCTTGTTACTGGTAGCGTCCTTGCTCCTAGTAGTAAGGCCAGGAGCTACTAGTAGCGT